TGGAAAGGATAGCCCGAGGGCCAAAGTATTTGAATACTTAACCGTATAATTCGATCACGCGGAAAGATCGAACGACCGATTTAATAATGATCCCAGTTCTGTGGCCGTAATTTTGGGTAGTTTGGTCGTGAGCTTACGATCCGGCGAAGAGAGGAAGGGGTGGTTGAGCGTACGCGAGTAAAGAGGTTAGGGCACGGGGGAGCAATACCATATGCAAAATTAACCTCCATTAAATGCGTTAACTCGGCGACGAGCATGCTCCGATGCGCTTAACCAAAGTACATTACACCGTACTCGATGCGGTCTATAGACACGGCAACCATCTACTATACAGGGTGTAAATGTAGAAAACAATCCGGAAAGTAAATATTCATATCTGACTCTTAATTTGAAAACTGACTATGGTTTGCATTAGTATCAGATTACGAATAGCGATGCAGCAAATTTGAAATGTTAAATTTTTAATTCATTATGCAGTAATTTATGCCTTTAGTATTAAGTTCTTCCAATTATTGCAATAATTTAAATCTGAATATTTGTCCACAATTTTGTGTATTTGAAAAATGGCGCGAAAATATAATCACAATAATGATTACTGCAATGATTGGAATGACTTAAAGATGCGTATCTAAAGGAACACAGATTTAATATTTATTAACGCCCTGTATATGTACAGTGTGACGTTTAATTGACGGTAGAGATGATCGGGGGGCAAAATGGCCTTATGCCGCGAATATTTACCCACAGTTCGTTTCGTCCTCGATTTCTTTTCAACGAGACGACAATGCGCGCTCTTAACCCGTTAACCGTCTATGCCGTAATATTGTTGAAGAAGCCGATCTACAATTGTATTGTGCGCGATACAATATTACGTTCTGGGGCACGCTCTTCCCTCTTGACCCGTGCCAATCGAAATACTGGCTCGAGACATGCCTCTGGTCCGATCCACGACGCTGTTCTTGCATTACAAACGAACTGATTCACTGCACTATTACGCATAGCAGACTATAGTGCATATACACTCCTACTCAAAAGTCACAAGACAATTATCAAAAAGGCCTTCAAATTTTCAAATTTTCCCCTACAGTTCCCAAACAAATTAACAGAATTCGAACGTGAACTATATGTGTACAACAGCAACACGTGGATAAAAATAGAAACACTCGTCATTTCAGAAGCCGATAAACACAATTAACCGAATCATGCAGAAACTTTCTTTCTTCGTCCTTCAACCATTTAATTTCCTCATCCCGCATTCCTGTCGGTCCAACGAACGAAGGGCTCGTACGGTTCACAAGAGGAGATGCTTATTAAATTGTGTCATCCAGGAATAAGGGCTAACGCGCTGCATCCAATTTGTGCCGCTTAATTAATTCCCTCCAATTTATTCCCCGAGACCGGCCAATAAAGAAACCAGGACCCGTCGGTCAACGAGCGTCGATGCCACCGCAATATTGTCCCTAATGAAATCTTCGTTAATCGCGTCTCCGACAAGTTTTTCCAATGTACCATACGTCGTTTCAATTGGCTACTCCACGAATTTTACATACATAGCTGACATCATGAGACGATTAAATGCGGGCATAAGTTTCGTTCAGCTGCTGGATTTTTATTTCAGATTAACAGAGAACTAGTGTACTAATTGTAAATTTTTGAAAATTTTACTTTGATATCATTTCAAATTAGCAGTAATCACTGTTATAATACCAATATTAAGATTAATATCAATTCAGTTAAATGTAACTGATAATTTTAGTCTCCATCAAGCTATTAATTTATCACTTTACATGTTTATCATTCACCAAAATGCTTAAATGTAATCTACATACATTATTAATAACATAAAAGCGTTAAGTGAATTCATCCTATTGTGATGTAAAAACAAATTATCATAATTTATAAAACTGCAAGCATATAAATTTTTTAAAATTCAGAATAATTTATCAACTGCTTAAATTACCTATATTAATAGTAAAAATAAAAAAATACCTAATACAAAAAAATAAATCAAAGAAATACAAATTCTGTACCCTTCTCGATTTCAATTAGGAATTAAATCGAAGAGTAGATCGATAGTGAGAGCGTAAATGTAGAACGTAAATGGAGGTAATTACAGTATTATCGCTTTTAATTGCGATTCCTGCTATTTGTGCATCGCGATTGTCGTCGCGTGCCGAATTATTGGATGTTGACGTCAGCCGACGCGGCACCGCTTTGCTCGTAACTGCCGGCACCAATTATGCAATTAACGCCGCTCTCTAATGAGCACAGTGTTACACACGCGGAATCTAAACAGCCAGTTATTCGACGCCTGTTCACGCTTTTGTATTTCACCTCGACAATTTTTGTTTGATAGAAACAACGGCATTGATTTTGATATCAAACTCAAATTACAAGTTTAAAAAATGTTAAAAATGAAACACAAATAACGTATAAACATTAGTTAGTGTTATAATATAAATAACTGATAAATTTCTTTTTATTCTTATCTCAATAATTCATCCAATGGAAGTTCAATTGCAAGCAATATTTCGCATCCTCGTAAATGATGCACAGCACTTGCAAGGATAGTAAACTGCGGTAACTCGATAACACTGGCCCAGTGCAATTAGAACTGCTAGTTAACAAGATATTCCTACGTGTACCCAAATAATTGAATACCGACATTACTGGATGTCCATAATCCGGGTTACCGAACCATTGGATGTGTACATTACTAACACACGCCCATATACATATATACCGGAGGCTAACATTACTCTAATTTTCGTAAACTTCGTAATGGACTAGTGGGCATTCTGCTGCGTTGACATTAGCATTAGGATCGGTGGATAGGTCAACCTCTGATTAAATAATTTGCATATTCATTGGTCACTCCTAACACAAGTAAAAGTAAAAGTAATCCAGAAAAAAATACCATTCAACTATTCAATTATCAAGTTTAATTAACATAATAAACATAAGTCAATTTGAAATAAATTCTTGATTTTGAAATAAATTGAAACAAACTCCTAATAACAAAATAGCAGAGAAAATTTTTCAGTAATAAATTAGTCACCACAATCTAACTATCCCTTGAAATTCCACCAGAGATTAACGCGATTACAGGCAACCGACGAAAATCAGTCGAATTTGAATTAAATTCTCTAACAAGCCGTGTTAATACGTAACGAGAAAACGAGTACATACGGTATAACGAGCGTGTAACAAATCCGGCGTGTGTGCCAACGTGTAAACACACTCCACTCGAAACCACAATCCCTTTGGCTATGATGGCAGGGTGTACTCGGATGGTCGAACAATAAAACACTGGCATAATGTTTCAGTCGGCTGGTTGAACACCGCAAATATACCCCTAGACCACATGCAGCTTTATTCTCAAGGAATACAGGCCCATATATGTACGTTCGTGTACGAAAGACCTGCTAGAGACCCCCTCTATCCCGTAGGACACCCCGAGCTCAGAAACCACCCCTAGGGGAACCAACGCGGATTAGCCTCGCTACATTTCGTCCCTTCTGTCGGCGCGTATGTTCAGTCATTAAGCGTCTAACTTGAACACCGAGTGGGGTGATCAATTTTCAGTAGGATTGCACGATGATTCGATTCTTTGTACCTGCGACAAATCGGATGATCCTTTTACCGGTGTCATTGGTTTTTGGTGTTTGATCAAGGAGATTTAGGTTTTAAGAAGTGTACCATTTAAGGGTGCACTGATGTTGCATAGATATGATGTTACCAAATATTCAAAAATCCAAATATACCATCTGAAAACTCGAGGACAACACAACTTATGATCCACGGCATCAAAATCACCCCCAGAAATTCTATCTTCCGCCCTATTCCTAAAGGAGCAAGGTGCATACGTAAAGCGAAACAAGGAGCCGGTAATCCGTCGTCGTGGAATGTCAGGCAGCCGAAACGAGAATTGGCTAAATTTCGTTAAGTTTGGCAGCAATTACTTTTGATACCCGACACGCGGCCGTAATTGCGTTGGCCCAAGCGGAAGCGCGCGCGCGAGAGAGAGAGGGGTAATAATTCGCTAATATCAATTTCAAATTTCAATTAGTATCATCTCGACGTCTGCTCCCAGACCAACCCTGTCTCTCTCTCTCTGCTTGCTCTCTCCGGTGGCTCTGGTGGACCCCAGAAGAGCACGGCACGATCTAAAATTCAATTTGTCCCTTGTAGCAGAGCCGCAAAGGGTGCAGGTGGGACGAAGACAGAGATAGAGATAGGGTAGAGGGGTAGGTAGGAACGTGTTGAGCTACGGGGTGTGTGGGCACAGTTAGAATACAGCGAGTTTAAAGCCACGCCGTTATATAAGCAGAAATACGGCCCTGTAGGCACGAGCATGCGCGCGATACGCCGACCCATTATAAATTGATAAGCCCGCCGTTTATTAAGTTCCACGACCGATGGCTGCTTAGGCAAAGAGCCCTCCACGCTCTTCGCCGATACGTGCATTATTTATTTACGGGAGTTTACAATCCCTCTAATGGGGATCGGCGTAATCGGTCGCCCATACGTCCCACCCCCTCGCCCCTGCACTCGCGTCGCGAACGAGGACACCCTCGGCCTAGTACCACCCCTGTCGCGTATCCTCTTAATCGTGTTTCAGCCTGTTTTCGAAAATCCACGCGCTGTTCGGCAAATCGGAAGCGACCACGTTGAATAGACAAATTGTTAGAATTATTTTATTCCATTCTATATAATAGTTAACCCTTAATTACTATTAACGATCTGTGAGAGTGAAGAAATTATTAAACACCTACCTTTCTTTTGAACGAAGGTCTGAAAAACCACTATAGTAAGTTAAAGGTTAAAATTAAATTTACCAAGAAATATGAACGTCAGTAGTTAATTGTCTTTCCTGTGTCTGATAATTCTCTTAGAAATAACCCATGACAACATTCTCGCTAATGTTGTTTTAACAGCCTCTAATTCATTTTCCCGGAAAAATGATTGGCGGCTTACGTAAGAAACTTCTCCTTTTATAGATTGGAACAGTTCATACTCACCAACCGAACAATAACCACCATCACACGCATCATCAGCAGCAGCAACAGCAACAGCAACAACAGCAACAGTCGAGTCAACCGCAGGTGTCTGGAGCAGGAGGGGGTGGAGGGCCGGGGGGTGGCACGGTGGCTAGGCCAAGTAGCATGTTCTGCTACCACTGCCCCCCGGGTCTTCCTACACCACGGTTGCCGCCCTCCCTTGAGTATCCGTTCGCCGCCACACATCCCTGTAAGTAGACAAATAATTTTATGTAATTTCATACCATTAATTCTCAATTGAACATTTTTTTTTTTTTATTGATACTTTATAAAGATATTTTTAAAAATATAGAAGGATTCTTTTTCAAAAATTATTTCTGAGGGAATTATAATAATGAAGTAAAATAAAAAGAATTATACAAGAACAAATTCCACTATGGACTGTAGAATATGATAATTGAATCTACAAACATGTTCGGCTATCAACGATCCCCTGTAGTACCTCCCAGCGATACGATTACCAATCTCCCTAGAGTACTGTTTCGGCCCGATTTACCCCTATAAGAAAAATTTGATTCCACCCATGATCTTACATTTTTTCATCTATTTCTCCCTTTACCGCCATTCTTTCTCAATTTCACTCTACGAGAATGGATTTTAAAGCCAGCTATATCATGACAAAGCTCTGTACATTTTAATGAATGATAGATTCTAACAGTACCGTTTCCTTCAATTATTCATAATTTTTTATTTATTATTTTATGTGGCATATTTGAAAGGTTAATTCCATTTGAAAAACATTGTCGTAGAGTGAAATAAAAGTGACTAGAAGGGTGTATGTGTGAAGGAGAAAAGGGGGGGGAAGAGGGAAAAGGGAGACTGATTGTAGCAGCACTTGGTCTGGCGGAACACATCGATGAAGTTACATTACCGACTAGACCGAGTTACGCAAAGTGGACGCTACAAACTGGACGGCCGCTAAACTTAATTTGCACTTCGAACCAACTTCCGGTTAAACCGCGACCCGACGGCGATGCCGAGTCGCTCTTCAGAAACTTCTACCCCGGTTTGCCTATTCACCGATCGTTTTCCAAGTCAAATCTCGTTTCTGTCGGGGACGTTAACTCACGTTAGTGGATCTTCTGGCGAGCACAATCGTATTGCGTAACATTTTCAGAAAAATAAAAAATAATACCAACTCTCTTCCCCTTTGATATCTTTGGCAAACACACGAACCAAATTCTACTTTCTTTGTACATTGTTGGTGAATTTTATTTCAAGTTTTGGGTGAATTCTGACAAAAATTTACGAACCTTTTTTCTTTCGTGAATTTTTTTTTCTAATACAAGTCTACGCATGATCGAGTCACGATGTATGTATCTGCTCACTTTATTGCATATTATGAAGCTCAATAAGATACATGTGGTAGGTAGATAATCGAATGGGGACCGAAGGTGTAGAAGGGAAGAGAGAAGCACCGTATCCTCAGGGACGTGTAAGTGCCGTTCCATCTAGACCCGAAATATAGTTTTAATAAAATATTGATTTCACCGGCGCAAAGTGAAATTATGTTTTTAATGCGCATTTATCATTCCCTTTATCACCGATCCGACACGTAGCTCTACTTAAAATTAAATAGAAATCCCTACATGCGTTTATCATAGATTAGAACACCGCAGAAAAACGAGATTTAAGAAAATTTTCCCATTATATTCATATAGGAGAAAAAAATGTCTAAAATTACTGAACACCTTTGGGCAGTCTTTTACACTTCAAACCATCATCTTTCAACCCCGTAGGTATGTATACAATAACATCATCAAACAACCATTCAAAAATTGCCATAAATTTAACAATCCTTCCTTATAAGACACGTAATTTTACACATGTGCGTGGAAACGACGCCCGATGGATGATCTCGTTCACAGGGGGTATGAGAAAAGGGGTGTCCTCGGGGACGTGCACCCTTCTAGCTTCCCTGGTCACAGCGTCGCCCCATTCTCCCACCCCCGTCGGGATAAACAGATTAAGTAACTACGTGATAAGTCGGTAAGTGGGTTCACTCGGCCCAGGGTCCAGCTCTGAACCCACCGACGTTCGCTGTAACATCTAACTACCTCATTAGTGTCATTAGTAACGGTCGGGGTGTCATTAGATTTCGTTCTGTCCAGCTTTTCTACCGAATATTTCGCGCGATAAATTCGTACCAAACCTTGAAATTTTTATCGAGGCTTACTCTTTCTAGGATAAAATAACAAATCTAATAATAAAATAACAATCAGTACAACGACTAAATGCTATATAGGCAAAACCACCTAATCAGTAACGATTAAAACAAATGAAACAACGTCCACAAGGACATCATCATCCAGCCGGAATTTCCCAGTGATTTCAAAGTACTAAATCCCTTTACCGAAACACCTCAAACGAATCACGCAGCTCGCATCAGCTGTATCGCGATAGAAAAATTATCCGTGACACTTTCAGCTGTACCTGAGCCCCATGAAGAGGGTCGCCGAGCCACCCCGTAGCTTTTGACACGCGTGTGTTCGAAGCGGAAGCAAATCAAGGGCGGTCCTGGCAGGACGACAAAGCGTTTTAAAAGCGCACGTACCTCGTCGACGCGGCACGTGCTACCTCCTTTCTGTCTACGTTCTCTGTTTCCTGGCAAGAAATTAGTCCCTCCATTGTTTTCACCCGGTCGGGGGACAAAGGTAGCTACGCGAGGACGTGTCGTGGATAGCTGAAGCGTGTGTAAGCGCAAAAGTCAGCGGGACGTTTTCTTCTCCCTCCTGTGAACGCTAATAAATTGGATCAACCGAACTCTCGATGAGTTGTACGAGTTGTCTGGATACTGGCTTTCCTACACGCCCGAGACTAATCTAAGAACTTGAGTGGATTTCAGTTTTGGCCACCGATAAATTTATTTAGCCGACCTGCCTTGGTTCTCGACCTCTTATTTCGTGTACAAAGATGTTATATTTTTTAAAATTGTAAATGATTAGTTAATATCCTTATACACGTTTTTCTAAGTTTTGGTCTCGATTGACCCGGACTCCGCTGTTGAAGGCTTCATTCGTCAGAGTAATGAACGATGCATAAGGAAATGGAAATTACCGTTTAATAAACGAATCTCGACGATTACAGAGAACGATTTATCGTGATGAGAAGACAGCTATTAAACGCCGAGGACAGGACATCGATTGCGGGAAATTCAATTGCAAAGTCATACATACTGCAAGCGAAAATCCTCGTGAACGGTCGCATTAATTTTGCAGAGGCGGCTGACTATTACCAGTGACACGATATGAGTTTGCTCAACGGTGTAATTGTTCTGCGGCAATTTACGAAAGTCCGTTTCCTGTGTGGATAACTTGTTGCAAACATACCTGACGACGCTATTCAATCGTCAAATTTTATGCCATGTTAATGGCATAAAACAAAAACTATATATCATAACACTAATTCATATTCATACTAGTTATATTCATAAGTTATATTTCGTTTAAAAGAATATATTTTAAAACAATATCCCAATAAAATAATTCAAACACAAAATTCGACACTCTAATAATTTTCATACAAACATCAAGAAATATACAATTTTTTAATTAAAAAATTTCCATTGTACATATCATTAAATTTCATCAAAATCCAATAATGTAGAATATTGCAAAATCTCTGCAAGAATGAAATGAAACAAGGCAATGTAAAACAGATATGATCACGGGCAAAGTTCGAAACTAAACACGATCTTGCACCATGTATGCACACAAATGCATCAGGCTGGTGCAGTGGATATTCGAGAGGCGAGGTCCGTCGTTCAGCAACGAGCGAACCGCATGAATTTTTATGAGCTTAGGAAATTAATTTGTGTTTTTCGCTAAGCTCTGGCTTAGCGCCGCGGTAATTAATTGCGCTGATTGCTCTGCATCATTGATAAGCGGTTCTCTGGCTTTCGTTACGCTCATCCCCACCAAACTATGTATCTCTCTCTTTGTCTATACGAACACCCAATACCATCGTTTCCCTTCAACCCCCATCGTCCTTTTGTCTGCGCGTGCTTCGACCACCGGACCATCCCCGTTTTTCGTAATTAGCCACGAAACGAGCTATTCTGCATTAAATCGTGCGTCCACTGATCGAGGAATTTCAAATTTTTATCAAATCTTTTGAATTTTATTAGGCATATGATGATGCAGGTTATTTCCAGTAGTTGATTTAAAATTTTTAGTATATTTCTAAATGTCTAAATTTCCAACTTTTTAAAATTCAAAATATCTCTATAATAACATATGTATATATTTTTTATTTATGATTTTAGACACCAGTTACTCTGCGTATCATCCGGCTTTGCATGGTGTCGGCGAAGATTCCTTCGTGAGACGAAAACAAAGACGAAACAGAACTACTTTCACCCCTCAACAGCTGGAGGAACTAGAATCTGCGTTTGCGCAAACGCACTACCCGGATGTATTCATCAGGGAGGAACTAGCGATGAAGATTAATCTTACGGAGGCCAGAGTTCAGGTTGGTACGATACAGAGAATGAATATGAAATCAGAAATGTGATAGTGAGCCGAAATTGTTGCAGTGAGTACATTTCACTAGATGCTTTTTATGGAATACCTCAACCCTTTTAGAATCAAAAAAGAAAATGCTGAGAATAATTTAATAATCGCCTATTCAGTGAACTGAAAATTTTTTTAAATTTTCTTTTGGAAAATATTTAATATTGAAAGTACCGAACAGAAACGAGAGCTGCAATTATTTTGAGTGGCACGTTTTCTCGCATTAATTTCAACGCAACCGAATCCATAATTTTAAATATCATTGAATGAATAGATGGCGTGCTGGGCAAAGGGAAAATAAAATAAAATGCAAATATTCACGTTAATGAAAGGATGGATCGTAATCAATGAAATTGTGACTCGTCAGAAATACAAAATAATTTGCTGAAATGAAAACGATCTAATAAATTTATCCCATGTCCACTGTTTCATATTACCAACTTGATGTTCGATTAATAATTTCAAATACAGAGCATTTTTTAATGCATACATTTACTGTCATCAAAGAGACAGCAAATTTCAATTTGCATCAAATTCAGACTCTATTTTAAAAAATTGTAAAAATCATGTATAATATAAGCATGGAAAATATTATTTGCATAAATAATACCGTACGTGTTATGAAGATATAAAACTAATATCATTATTATCTAGAAGAATAATAATACAAATATTTCAACATTTACCCCTTATTAAAAAAAAAAAAAAAAAAAAAAAAATTAAGTAAACCAAAATGATCAATTGTTTTGATGTACAACCATGGATCACGAGTATAACAGCGCGAGCGCAAGATGTAGGGTAGTTTTAGGGTACACCCAGTTCCCGAGGGAGGTGCTGACACCCTCGACCTGACGTAATCTTCTGACAAAGTAATCCGGTAATCTCTGGGATTACTTTGTACTCTTGGCTTCGTCCTGGCCATATTTACTCGCACCAGCGTAATTCGCGTTGCAGAGAATCCCTGCAGTAATAGCGATTCCCTTCTGAAATCTTGTTGGAACATCTGCAGGATATCCGATCGCTGTTGTCAGATTTTTAATTCTCTCTTCTTTTCCCTTATAAACACTGACGGAATCTCGTTGCGAATCTCTTTTTATTTTATGAATATAATCGAATAAAGACTCTACTGATTTTATATACACACTTTGGACCAAAGAGGGTCATTGATGACTCGTAATGTAAAACAGATATGACGAGGTAGAAGAAGCTTCATCATTTACAATTTTAACATTATAAATTTCTATATTTCAAAATTTCAAAAATCTTAAATTTCGAGAAACCTATATTCCAATCTGAAACACCCCTTCGACTTAAAAAACCAACTATACCCAACCCGCTGGTCTGACGTCCAATATTCCTTTTCCAAGAACGCATCACAGAAGCAGAGGTACTCATAGAGGCAGGTGTGTCGGCTGGTATCCCGTAATTCACACTACACGCTTTGAAATTCAAACGGGGCCAGTGCACGCGACTGTGCAGGCGCACGCGCAACTATAGCGTGTCGCATCGTTGTGTGTGCAGCATAATTGCCTAGTGCACACACAGGCGGCGAACAAATGTCAGAGAAGCTGGCTCCACCGTAGATGGTCCACCCCCGCAGCCACCCTCACCCCACACGAGCTTCTAATTGGAGTAGGAGAAGAGAACCGGCACTGCATAAACGCGCCTATTTGTCCATTATTTCAGATTCCCTTTGTCTTCCCTAATGAAACAATGAGTCTGCGCCGTAATTGCGTCATAGCCTTCCTGTCCCTACCTTCCTCTCATTGTGTACACCGGTGCCTAGCATGGCCTTCTCGTCTTATAATCCGCACAATGCAGCGGGATAATACCGTGACCCTCTGCTGAAGGATTCTTTGCTAGACTGTGTTCTTCGTGTTTGCTAATACATATCACGAATTTTATTTATAGGGGTGAAATAAAATTCATTGGTCAGATCGATGAACTGGAAGGAATGAAATGCATAAGGAATGACGAGTCATTTATTTATGAGTCAACAATTTAAAACCCCAGAAAAAATGATCCAATATTTTTAATTATAGGTAAAACTCCCTTTTCAAAATTAGTATTGACGAACAAAATCCATTTACCAAGAACCAGTTTCTATTTAACAAGGTTAATAATCTTATAAGAATACAGGTACTAACGGTTTCGAAAATATAATCATATAGCATTTAAGAAAAAAAAGAGAGATAATTAAAAGTAGATGGACAAGTGTCAAAGTCAAAAGATTAAGTATACTTGACATGGGGCAGAATACAACGATGCCATTATCGGTATATTCGGATTAAACACAGTAAAAAAGGGGGAAGGAGAGTAGATTAAAAAAGAAAGAATGTAACGTACGAAACGGGCGAGAACGAAGAATAACGATGCCTTCTACCATTGGATTATGTACCGTGCTAATGCGCTTATAAATTTGCACGCAAAAAATGTTCCTTTTAGTTCTTTTTTAATGAAACATAATCAAGAGCTGAGAGAGGCTTTGCATCGTATGAGCTTTGACTGCATTCATTAAGGGCACCGTAATAGATTTACAATGTAGACCTCAAACAATTATATCATTCAATTTTTAGTAATTATAAAGTTAACTTGTTACGTAAGTTTTGACGAGATGTTATTAATTCACCCTTTTAGCTTCGCGATGCATTCAAGCGTGTTCCTTTTTCATGCACTTTTTCAACGAACGTTCAAGCTTATGAAAATATTTTCAGAAAATTTTCAATTTTCTGTTTTTATTAAAATAATTGCATCAAAATAAATGATAGCTACTGAAACTTGAAAATTGAAGGTGCTTTTAATGAATTATTAAAATATTATGAAAATATAACAAATGTTTAAAAAATAGAAAGAAATCATATTTGTTTTTGACAGATATTTAATATTTAGTATATGGATTTATAATATAATAAATGCTAAAAATTGTTTACAATTAAAAATTCACCTACAACTTCTTAAAAACAACAGTGAATCTGACAAGATAAAAAACGTAAATATATCAGTTTTTCCTTTTGACGCGATAAAAGTCTCCATTAAAAACTAACTCGCGAAAGAGGGGTAGAAAGTGTGACGGGTAGAAAAAAAAAAGCAAACGAGAGCAAGATGAGGAACGGCGCTGAAGGCGGCACTTAAGCTGCTTTATAGGGCTACAGCTGGTAGTAGATTGTAGAGGCACGGATATGGAAGGATAATTACATGTACAGGGATGGCATTCGTGGCTGGTCAGAGGGGTAGACTCTTGGCCGCGTGCATGTTCAACGAGCCGACAGCAACCACGGCGACCGAGTGTTTTTTAAAAAGCTCGAGTTCCACTAACGAGGCTAACTTGACATAATACCAACTGAAATAGACTTTATTATACCCCAGTCGACTCTCTGCGATTCCGCAGCCGTCTTCACCCCTATGATGACATACGTGATGCTATTCAACCAGACTAGACTGTGAGATTATATATGGGGGTGGGTTTCTGTGGATTCTTAAGTATCATCTTGTCTGTAAAACTCACACAAACATAAAGTCTTCATAATATATTTTTTTAATTTTACTGTCTGGTGAATAGGAAATTTCATTTTGAAGTATGTTACCTACTACCTACATGAAGAGGGTGCGTTTAAGTGAATTTTAATTTTGGTTAATCTTAAATCATATACTCTTTTATGACATGTAAACTGAAACTTTATACAAATAATAATATAATTATTTAATAGACTTTTTCAATTTATATGGTGGTACTACATGAAAATTTTATAATAAATGAATAATCGCTAATAAATACCATCCAATACATGTACATATTCAAAGTTAAGAAGAAATTAAACTGCAAACATTGAAGATGATTTTAAATAAATAAAATATATCGAAAATAACTGACATCGTACGGAAATAATTAACTATCGTATTTAATTTTAATGCTCAAATAAAAAAGTAATTACTGCCCGAGGAAGTAGAAGAAATACCTAGTACCGATTTTTGATCGTTCAATTTTTTAACTTCAGAATTACTTATTGCAATGCAAAATGTAAAATACTTAACTCTAATTACTAATGAATTAAAACTTTCAATTTTTCAGGTGTGGTTCCAAAATCGCAGAGCAAAATGGAGAAAGAGCGAACGATTGCAGGAGGAGCAACGAAAAAGAGAGGGTGGAGGAAGTGGTGCACTAGAAACGGCTGGTTTAGCACCTCCAACCTCTTCATCGGCAGGTCCAAGTCCCACAGGACATGATCCTGAAGGTATATAAGATTTCAAATAAATTATTGTCCAAGAGGGAATCTCGTGCCAAAGTGCCCTAATGAATATTCAATTTCCACTAGCATTTATCTGCATCACTACAGAAAAACCATACAACATGTAACAGTGTCCGTTTTGATTCGAAAAGGAACCACAAACAGCAGCGCCCCCGACGCGGAGGACGCCGGGCTAGATGGAGCTGGCGGATCCAGGAGCCCAAGTACAACTTCCGCCTCGGTTAGTCCGCGGCCCCAGCAGAGTCAGCCGTCCCTGGGTGGTGTCTCGACGCCACCGCCAACCCCCATAAGGGCGCTACCGCCACCACCTAGCACCGTAGGGGGTCTTGGCCCGCCCGCTGAGAGGTGAGCTTTTAGCTTCGTTTGTATTTACGTCTTTAGGAAATATCCTCGTCCCTTTACCCGCCCCTTCGTCACCGGCTATCCAAAGTCACTCGCTGCAAGCACCAGTGAACACGTCGACCGGATGCTTGATACGCGCCATTAAACCACTCCTTCTACAGTTTCCTTCGGTTTCTTCTCCTTCAAACCCTCCCGCAGCGTGCGACGCTCGCTGCCTCTCGTATAATCGTGATAATCGTCGCCTCGTTAAATCGTGTCAAGATCGTTTACCGAGTGGATACTGTAATAACCATGCGAGACTTGAGATCTTGGGATTTGAGCATTGGCTCATTTTTAATAAAAAATAAATTTAAAAGGAAAAATGAAATTTCAACCAACTTCTTACACAACATGTATTTTACGACAAAGACTCACGTACCATTAGATGAAATATGCAAATGGATATCCAACACAAAAGTAATATGTTATTTATAAACTATCCTTACAGTGACGTTACAAGAGAAAATCTCATTGGCTAAGAATATTTTCTTATTCACATCTTGAAGTAATGGTATTATGAAGACGCTATTATGTCACTTTAGCTTCGCAAAATCTATTTTGGTTCTAATTTTCTGGTTCTTGTACACTTCCAATTAAAATGGTTAACAAATCTTATCACCAAATACAATCCAAACGAACAACGAAATACCATTTCCCAACCAAACATCTAAAAATCAGCAAACAACCCTCAGACCTCCTACTCATTGAAGTTGAAAATCCCCTGACGCATCAAGGTTCACGAATCCCCGATTTCTTTCTCGAAGATGGTAAGTATCCGTCGGTGCCTCTTTATAATCCCTGACAGTACTCCCCTCGCATCGACGGGAAGGTAAGAAGAACAATGTTGAAAAAAACGCAGACATACGAAATAGAACGAGTAGCTTGTAAGAGCGAGTAGATAGAAGAGGGAGAGGAGTCGGTTGGAAATGGTAGGAAGATACTCGTTCGCCGTCTCCGCGGTTGTAATTTATTTAAAACCGCTCGCCGTAAATATATCCTCATCATTTATTCAGCGGCTTGGCAGCTTCTCGACTGCGGGGGTGTACGTTCCTCCTTACCTACCAAGCCAGATAGAAGTTGCTGGCTCGTGTAGTCGATTCGCGTGGAAACAGGGGCGGATCCATGCTCGCTACGCCGTAGAAGAGGGCTCGTCTTTCTTTTCAGACCGTCTTTCTTGTTTTACGGTAACGTTCTTGGGGTACGGGATTTAAATTACTCGCGGCGAACGTAATCTCGAGTGGAATTGGTTTCCGCTCGGCCTCCGTATCGATTCTACAGCCCATGGATTCACGATGGATTGCTTTGAGCAAAGTTCTTCAGAGAGTTTAAAACCGATTTTACTTGAACTTTACTTTGCGGCATACAAAATTATTGATTTTTTTTTTTTTTTCACATTTTTAAACTATTCGACGAAAAAGGATAAAAAATACCAGTTATAACTCTAGGAATCCATAAAAAAATATCAGTAAATGTTTCTTAATTTAAGTCCACCTGCAACTAAATTTAAATTCCTCAAGGATGAAATTTGCATGAAGTCAATAATTCATAGGATTGCTTTAGAACATTATTAGCCGCATCTAAAACGCGTCTCCAGTCGAGTTAGAGCAACCGGAAATACAGAGACTGTCTAGAATCTGAGTTAGACACAGAAGAAATGAAGTGGGTGTTCGCGAGCGCATGTAAGCAAGCCGCACGCTAGGCTACGCAGCTAATTGCCGCTAATTATCGCGCTTACCGCAGTTCAAGCTTTCCTCTCTGCATTTCCGCCACTGCATTTCGCTACCTTTGCCTCTTCGCCACCATCTGTTACCACCCTACTATGCTTTCCCGCCCCTTATCTTCTTCAGTCACCCAAAATTCTGTGCTGACTCTTATATGTACAACCCTCGATCCTCGTTTCCAGTTTTAAGCTACCTTCCATATTAAGTCTGTTTATAAAGTAGTTTGCATTTTAAAACTGAACAAATTTTATTATAAAATTCAAAGGGTATGTTTCTATTTACCTGATTTTTTCTTTATGTATACTTATGTAAATTTCTCAGCATGTGTAAAATATGTCAAATGTACCAATTAAAATTAAGGGAATATTAAAAATTTTTAATTTTAAATTACCTGAAGGAAAAAAAAGTTCTATAAGAGCATATATTTCCTTCGGCATTCCTTTGACATTCAAACGATTCATTTTCATCCCCCTCTACCTCCCATAAAATTGTTTACTCTTTTCCTGTAATCTTAAACTTCCTCCCCTTATATTCCTCTCTTACTACTACCCCCTTTTTCTTAAAATTGCTGTATCTATTTGTACACGTTTATCCGTCATCGTATCCAACCTGTTTACTCTCCTATCGCTTCATCTCTCTTCGTTGAATTAAGGATCTTTCTCCCTTATCCGGGAAGATTCCCTGGATCCTCGTTTCCGTCACTCGAGCTATACCTCGGGCTCATTACATTAATTAAACAATATTTGCGATTAATATTTGAGATAATCATCAGCGCCTCGAAGCAGCTTCTGCTTGCTGGCGGAGGATGCGGAATATCGCGCGTGCTAATCGGGTTAGCGCTTTCGTGAGCCCTTCTGCTTCCCTTTCTATCACCGCACCGGTTCGGCTTTGAAGATGTATTTTTTTTATCAAATTGCATGACTTTGGTGAAAAATCTTGACACGCTGATTATCAGTAATTATTAATTAAAGAATTCTTTTATTTCAAATTCCGTAAGATGAAATATTTCAAAAAATTAGGATTTAAAAATTTTAAGATTTCACAAGTGAATAAATGTACTGAAAATTTTTAAAAATTTCTATTTCCAGTACCCCAGGTCTGACAGCAGGATTCAGGCCAGTGGAGCCCCCCACGTCACTTCTCTTTTCGCCGCATTTGGCGGCTCAGTTTTCTCCACCTTTGTTCGCCAACAAGGTAGTCAGTACTGCAGCCACGTCCCTATCATCGACTACCGCTTCGTTATGGTCATCCAGTGACCATCGGTCTGGAGCGTTGCACGATATGCTGACCTGGTCCCCAGGATGGCCAGGACCATTGTGTGGTTGCTGTAAACCAGGAACCGGGGATCTTCACAGAAACAGCAGTCTAGCAGAGCTCAGGAGAAAAGCTCAGGAACATTCCACTGCTCTTCTCGGAGGACTGGCTGCTTTCCCTGCAGCATTACCTCTACCTCTGCCTTTGTCATTGCTGCCACCTTTGTACCAACTGTCCAGGAGGCCGGAGCATCATCATCATCATTTACCGAGCATGGTGCATCAGATACAACCGACGACTAAAGAGGATCCCTAGGATCATCGCGTGTGCTGCGTTCGCCTGATTGATCCTTTGACCTTGGTAATGGCCACGTATACGTTTCAACACGCTGGTTTGTTATTTTTATCGTCTTCCTTTTCTTTGTTGATTTGTTTGAATTTTTATTTGAGAATTACAATATTGAAAGGTGGGTATTACAATATTAAAAATTTATTGGGATCAATAAATACTATATGCCTTGGCCCACCCCAGACAGAAACTCTATTTAGTTACGTCAATGACTGAAAAATTTTCAAATTCATAATGGAATTAGACTCGTGGAAAACTTGCCTGTTGATAACAATTTGATAAGTTATTGGGAAATATAATAAACTTTCTTTGTATTCATGAAACTGTTACCAAAAAATTAAGTTTGAAAAATTTCTATACTTTAGTACCTAATAAAAAAAAAAATTGCAAATAACATTACTTGCAGTGATAAACAATTTTAAGTTAATGAAATGAAGTTTTAAGAAGTCTTTTCGTTTAATTTGATTAAGGGATGAAATTCAAATGCTGGATTGAAACTTATTGTTATCTTTATAAAAGTATACGTTTTTCATTTATAAGTATGTTACTAATATCATTAATTTTATTTATCAAATTTGTTATGATAGTTTAAAAATAAATCTTGGGATGTTTTTAATTGTACCAAGAACATCAACTGCAATTTTCTAACATTTCTAAAAATTCAATAAACAATACATAATTTTATTTTGATACAATTCACATTCATCCGAAGATTTGTATAAAATTCAAAGAAAAGAATACATTCACATGTAACGAGTGAACGGAACAGGTCAATACTCGTAGCAATTTTGTATTGCGATGGAATAATTTCTATTATCACCCTTAAATCGAGTCTATGACAATTTTCTTGAATTATATGATTACTCTATCGCATTATTCAAATAATACGGACATCCGTATTATCCGAGTAACACGGATGTTCGCTTCGATCGCGCGATACAAGCACGCGCCTTCTGACACAATAACTTTTTATTAATTTTCTATCATTAAGAAACAAAAGAAGGATATTCGTGGATATATCTTGTTACCCTAAAAACAGGCGTCTGGAACTCTGGAGAGTTGTTACAGCGAATTAATGTTTTAGTGAACGCAAACTGTAAAAGTTTCAGCAGTTTTCTTAATCCTCTTAGCATCCGAGAAGAAAGATAAAACTTCAATCTTTCCTCTAATTACGAAATCTTCTGCATTGCAAAAACAGGTGGAGGGTATTGAATTAAGTAACAAAGTAAATAATGAGATGAATAAATGTGATGTTCTTTTCTGTTGTCGTTATTCATTGAACGCTGCTATTTGAAACAAGATAAATAATAATATAAAAAAAAAAGAAAAAAAATCGACGATTTAATTATCTCCAGTGTTTCACGTCTGCTTATCAAGGGTTCCATGAATCCCCTAGGATTATATGATACGATTTAGACAGACACGTTTACCATGAGTCTATGGCTATTCGTCTATATTTTGAAAAATATTAGATTGTTGCAAAGAAAATTGCTAAACGTCCGAAAATATTAACAAATACAAAAATAATACAAATATGAAAAGAAAAAATATTCATAATCATCATTAGGCACCAATGTGATAAAAATATTATTAAAAAGTTTATAGTCATTCTCTTTAAACATATAAATAGTAACTGTTTTATAATTGGCCAATTAATATGCAACAATCTAATAATTATCAGCGGATGTAACGATCTATTCTCCAAGAGGTCAAGGAAAAAGTTGCTATACGAACAGGAGCAATCGTAGAAATCGTGTTGAATGTACAACTCACGAGAAGAAGAATGATATAAAACGGTGATCCTCTAGTGTTATTAGACTAATCAGTACAATGGATTCACTTGGACGTATCTACGATTGCGCTGGTAAGAGTAAGAAGAATTGTTTCGTTTACATTACAATCTCATTACCACTGTCCTTTTTAATTATTAAAAGCGTGGTATAACGAGGAAAGGAAACGTAGATACCATAGTAGAGACCTGTATATTACATCCCGGTGAATTGTCAGTGCTAATCAAGGATAATCTAATAACAGTATGTTACAGACTAGTGACTATTATGTAGCCTGAACTGTGAGTAGTGAATTATTCGAATAAACTTGTTCTCTCGTGATAAAGCATGCGTTTAATAAAAAGTCTTTCTAATTTACTTAAACCCATTCCCGTCTTCCTTAAAAATTTTTTAAAAAGATAGTGTACTGAGGTAATTATTTAATTTAAGCACCATTTTGAGGGCCTGCAATAAGCATCCATTCTCTCTGTCCATATAATAATACGTAAGTCAATTAGATCAGCAATTGGTGGTTTAATCCTAATTCTCAAAAGTTTGATGATCTGATTAATTTGATGAAGTACAATTTGCGTGCCGTAGTCGACGCGGTATGTTGCAAAGGATCAGGTGTTCACTTAAGGGATCCCTTGAATCAACTCGGTGCTGAGTGATCAAAGGCTATGGTGAACCTATCAGAGAGATTTACTGGAGTACTAACATCTAATAGCAATTGAGCGTTGAATTACACGCGGCGTACAAAGGAAGGGATTGATCGACAACATGTACTTGCTGATGTACACATAATCAGTTTGAAACAGAGTAAGCACAGTTAGACGTTCAATTTGATCTATGATCTTGAGATCAATTCCCTCAAACAATAAAACTATAATATCTTAGACAAAAGTTAATTTTATTAAGACTAAAGCAAACTTGTTCAACGTTCCAAAAGTAGTGGAAAAACGAAATCCCCCCAAATAATTCAATTTACGGTAAACCGATCTCCAAAGAGCCCCCTTAACACCCCCTAAACACAGTTCTCGAGGATCTGATACGCTATCAGCTCCCAGATCGAGTACATACTTTCCCGTTCGAAACCGCTGATCGTGGCGACGAGTTTTTAAACAAAGCACGCCCCTAAAAACCGAGACTAGGTGGCAGGAAGCAACCGTGACGGGGAGGTGAAAAAGGGAAAAAGTCCGATTGGGGGTAAGTCGAGAAGAAGGGGTTGTTGGCAATCAATGCTCTTCATAAGAAAAGCTCGCCCCCTCTTATGGGATCAACCCTCCTCACGCGGTGAGGTCTGCATCGGGGAAAAAAGGGTGGAGAGGAATGCAGGGTAGAAAAAGAGAGAAAGAGAAAAGGTAGGAGAGTGAGGAGATTATTCTCGTTGGACAAAGAAAGATAAGAGCAGGAGAGGGATGAAACGAGACGGAGGGTTGTTCCAGGCTCGACCAACCAGAGACGAGACGCCATTGATCGGCACGTGGCTCCCGGTTGGTTCAACGGATTGCACGAGGGTGGAGGGTGCAGCTTTAGCTGGAAAGTGACCGTGATGGTGGTGGTAGGGAGGAAGAAGCCGATGGTGGGGCACAGACGCGTTCTGCACACTCCGTTACACTTACTGGTAAACCGTATTAATCAACGACATCATGGTTTATCCCCCCTCCCTCCGCCCCCAATTCCTCTCCGCTACTTGGCATCCATCTACCTTAACCTACTCTATCCTCCACCCCCGCCGACTCCATTCCGATCTATAGCGAAACCTGCACCGACATTGCCTTACAACCACCCACCCTCCACGACGAACAGAGGGGATTGAAGGGTGCCGAGGTAAAGACGCGTGTACGCGAGGGAAACATGAAAAAGTGGAGAAAACGAAGCTGTACATAAGTATTTACACTATACTGGATGTTATGAGAATAATGGTTAAGGATTAGGCATGGTTTTCTGAAATTGAATCCAAATAAATTACCATACTATAGCCACTGAAAATTTCTAATATTTTGATTTTTAATTAAGTTTCTATTTTGCTATTTCTAACTGAGTGATAACTCAGAAAATTCTTTACAATATGAATGATGGGTTGAAGGACGTATAAATTAAGGGAAGACATTGCAGTAGTAATCACTTCCCACTTAAAATTTTGAAATTGGACATCACGTTGTTAATTCCAATTTTTTTAAATCTTAATTAATTTTACAAAATAACACAGAAGGTAATGAATTATCTGTACATACAATATCCATTACCCTCTTGACACTTAGTATAACAGAAAGAAGCGAATTGATTGTAAGGGTCGTTGGAAAAGTAAAATGAAAAGAAGCAAAAGGGTGGGGGGAATGATGCGGTGGAACGAGCTTAGAAGGAGACTAAAGTGGAAATAGGGAGAAGAGTGGAGGGAGGAGGGCTTAAGAGGGTTGAAGCGGGTAACAAATGTTCGGCGATAAATTTATGAAATAATGTAGGTGATAGGCGGTAAAGAAGAGGAAAATTTACGAGGCAAAATGAGAGAGGAGAATGAATTTGATTTTACAGGTTCTACATAAAATAAAGAAGATGGAAAGGGAGGAAATGCAACGGTAAGTGAATGTACAAATGAATCAACGTAGATGAAATAAGGATACAAGGAAGTAGAGGAACATTAGGAAAAGAAAAAAATGAGAGAGATGGTGGATTCTGTATGAGAAGAGAGAAAAAGAACAAAAGCGAGGCGCCATAGGTCACTTTGAGAGAAGAGATCGACGCTTAACGATGTCTCTCGATACCCATTACGCGGCTAGCTGAGATTCAACAACCCAGTACCATTACCCCTATCATCGTGTATAGTCAGAAAAAAATCCAATTGATCCTCCACCTTCTACTGCAGCCTTAAGATTGTGCTTTCATACGATTCTACTTTTGTAAATAATGTAATGATTTTGTCAATAATGTATTGAACATAGCAAACTATCACAATTCCATCGTTAATTAAAAATGATTGACAAACCATTTCATCATACCTTAATCTCCCACAAAAAGGGGAAGGAAATTTTCCAATCCCAGTAAACGAGTTCCCAGGAAACGGTTCCACGGTGTTCAATTTCCATCGTTACAACCCCGGTCCGTGTCTGTCACGCCTTCATCCCCCAGTTTCGGCATCGATTATACCAGCGCGACGTTTCATATTAATCACGATCCAAGGATGTACGCGATGAGCTTGCGAATCAGGACGTGGGTAACTGATTTTAGAGCATCGAGAGGATCCGGAGAGGTCGAGGTGGTGGTATGCCATCCCTGATACCGGTAGACAGTGATTAATACGGTCGACGTCGTCTGGCGTCTTCAACCCTGAAGAAGAGAAGCCAGTCTCTGCGTGGGTGGGCGGGACCACGAGAACGTTTTCAGCTGAGCTCCTCTCGAGCGTACTCCGCGGTAAAAGGTTTTACGAAATTCATTGTCAGGCAATTTGCATGTCAAAGCCGCTCGAGAGCACGCTCTACGACCTGCCGGCTAGACGGGGACTGTCTATCTCTCTTCCTTTTCCACCCTCTCTGGATACCGCTTGATGGAATTAGAGGTAAAAATGAGCCCTCTTTCGCATGCCTGATATGCATACAATTGTTTATGCTGCCGTTCGATGGGAAATTATTAGAGATTGGCTGTGTAATCATTTCATCAAGGTTTGATCGATATTGATCGTGTTTGAGGTCGTTTGAAGTGAAAGGATGGTTAAATTGTGATACAATTCGGATACAATTAGTTAAATTGAGATGATTTCTAGCTTTTAAATGTTTCAAAAAATGGATTTATTTTATTTTAGTTATTCTGCTCGTTACCCCTTGAACAGCGGAACTTAGCTCAATCGCGACCCAAATATACAAAACATATGCAACGTAGTATAATTTTTAAACAAAAGAATTTCATATATTGGGAAACAATTTTAAACGAACAGCGTAGAAAATGAGAATAATGTGAAATGCAAAAACCGCTCTCCCAGGGTTCTTAATATGTTGAATCATTTATGCATTTACATTTCCAATTTAAAAATGTAAGTCTATTTAGAAATTATATATTAAGTAACGAATATTGAACATGATCTCTTTTCGTCTTGTCTACCGAAAGAAGAAAATCGTTTATAACCGTAATTCTATTTCCGTATCTACCCTATCTCCCATCTGAACGAGAAATTCATTTTTCCGGAAAATCGAACCGCAATTTCTTGCTGAATTATGAATTGCGATTTTGTGTAAAACGACGATATTGAAACAGCAGAGAGGTAGGCGCTATAATTGAATCACTTTGTACAGGGAAATGAGGGTACTTTATAGTGGATTCGCGCTCCACAAAAGAAAACAGCCAATGCTGTAACCGAAGAAAATGGAACATTTATTTTCGAGGGCAATTTTCATACAAAATTGCAAGATACATATATTAACATTACCGTACAAAATTCAATAATACAATTCATAATCAGCATTAGAAAAGCATTAGAAAAGCAGTATAAAAGCACATGCAATAATTTGCATATTTGGTTATTATAAAATAATTCTGGTCTCTATTTGACTGATCTACAATAACGAGATAAAAAGGTTTCCTGAAAATTCAGACGACTATATCGGGCTACACGTAATTCCCAGGTTGGATATCGTATATTTCACTAAAGCGAAGGGTGAAAGTTCCGCCGGACAAAGGGCGAGGGCGTAGAAGGCAAGTGAAGAAACGACCGCTGGATCTCCCGTATAACGCCTTATAAAGAGTAAAGCCTCGAAACGAACGAAAGGGCGGAAAAGAATTTATCGTGGTTGCCTGAAAAAGCTAAAGGGATCAGCAGCCGCAATTATTTTCAATTTTGAAATCCACTTCGTGGCTGTTCTACTTCCTTTCTTCTTTTAATAGGGATATGTAACTTACATACTCGTATATGCTGTATCTGATTTTTAATAAATTTTTCAATTTTCCTTAAAATTAAACAATATCTACCATTTTCAAATATCCCTCCTAAAAAGCTTACTACGAAAAGTAAAAACGATCGTCCATAAAATAGCATCGTCCGACCCATTTTTTCTAGGCACGTGCCTGCAACAACGCGGCACGGCATACCCTTTATCCCGAGGAAGCGGAAACGGAACTGGATGAAGCCAACGCCGCCGGCTCGAAGGTAACGAGGTTTTCCTCGGTTGGTTAATTTGCCGCGGATTGGATCGCGCGAAAACACGCGCACTAACATGGTTTTCAACGATCTATATCTCTCTATCTCCTTTCACCTTCATCTGCATCGAAAACCACCCACCGGTGTCACCAATATTTTCTGCACTTTGATCATCGTGGATCGTCAATGATACGCCGATGCTAAAACGCCAGCTACCATAACGCGATCACCATAGT